TTCTGAAACATCAACATTATATTCAAATAATATACTGCAGAAGATTACTTGTTTTCATAAAAATTTAAATATATATACAAAGTATTAAAATATTCTTGTTACCCTTTTTTTTCTTTTGAAAACGTGTCATAGAAGTTAGGGAAAAATATTCATTATCAAATACTACCTAAAATATTTTTAGAATTAGTATCATTTTCCGGATTAAGCCAGAAATAAATATAATCGAGGTTAACTTTAAAATTTCAAATGAAAACATAATAATTATCCTATTAGATAAAGCTCATTGTTAGTGGTTTTAATATTTTTACATTCTTTTGTAATTCAGTTTCTTTGTTTTTGTTTGGAATTACGAACAAATTATAACACTGTCTCTATTGTTGCAGAAACAGATGTTCTCGATCTTTTTCTTAAACCATAAGAAATGTTAAAATATTGTATATTTGATTCCTTTTTAAAACTTTGTCTAATAATATGCTTCGCACAAACTTTTCGCAAGTTGGCCGACTGCGTGTAAAAATAATTTTGTCGCGTCGGAAGTGTAAATCCAGTTATTTGTATGTAGGTATCGATTTAAAAAAAAAAGAGATAAGAAAAGAATGCCAGATATGAATCGTACTTTATTTTTTAATTTATCTTAAAAAGAAAAAAATGAAGAATAAGTTAATGTACAATATCCATTTTCATTTCTATCTAAAATTAGTTTATCAATTATTTCTGTTAATATAGATTAACTTTAATTTCTTATCTTCTGAGACGTGATGTTTTTCTCGTCTGTTAAGAGTTGGTAAACATAACTATGATGCGCGCGCGCATCGTTTGAAATGAAAGAAATGGTACTGAGATGCAAGTGTGTAAGTGGACAAATAAAAAATATAATTTAATGAACGTTTGTGCAATATTATTTCCATTCGATCCAATTTGGAATTAATTTCTAATAAATAAATTATTGAAATATAACTGAGTTATTTTATAATGATGCGAGTAAGAATTTTATTCATTTTGATGTACCAATTTTTTCTTAAATTTAGCTATTGTAAGTTTAGTTATTGTAATGATTATTTTCGGTTTTTTCTACAAAAAAAAAATAGATAAGAAAACATAGAAATAGAACGATAGAAAAACTCTCAAAAATTATCCTCCTTTTGTACGCAAAGATACTCGGGATGCTCTACGTGATTATTAATTCGCTAGTCGCAGGGTTCGTCTGCGAATAACTGCGAATGAATTTGGAATCAACACAGTTTAGCACGTAAGATCTCGCGGTCAATGATGTGTTTCCAGTATGATCTATACCACATTTATTGTGTTGTGATTGACCTCGAGGAGTGCTTCGAAGATGCACACAAAGCCGAAAAGCTGGCGCCGCGGCCAGCCTGAGTAGAGGAAGTGGCGAAACAAACTATTCGTTATTGTAAAGCTCCAGATTTCTGTATCGAAGGGACGCGTATATGCATAATCATTATTCTCGTATTCCGTTTCATAAAGTTCAGATTTGTCGATTACATTCTAAGAAATAGCGGTATGAAATGTGTTGATATCAAATGAATGTGGATTTAACACTATGGATTTTAAATTTACACTCTCATATTAAACTCATACCATGATGGTGTTGATATAAAGTTTATATTATAAAAACCATGGGTTTCAAATGTACACTATGGTATTAATTTAGCATCAATATGGGGAGAATTATACAGACATCGGGTGTTAAATCCATACTAGGGGTCCTATTCTGTAACTTTTAACGACAATGTTATTATTATATATCGTTGCGCAGTTCTTTTATCATATGAAATATCTGTGCAACTGTACACTGTAACGATATCGACACTTAAGAGTTAAGGAATCTAAGGAATCTACTTTTTAGAGTGTAACTACATTGTATGTGTAAGTTGTGCGTGATCGTACCGTCACTCCCGATACACACCGCGTTCTGTCTTTTGGTAGTTATCAGGTGTATAAGCTTAAATTCGCTGTTGCTCATAGGTGGCATTAGCGAGCGTACAAAGCTACCCTGGGCACACAACACACTTTTTCTTATGTGTTTGACATTTGTCAATATTAACCAGTGCACATCATCAGCAATTTCATACAACAACATACATTTTTTCTTTCGTAATCATGTCTAGTTTTTTGCTAAAAAAAAGCATATTAGGGAAGCTTTGCTTTTCTGTTTCAATTTGAAGAAATCAGCTGCCGAATCGCATTGAATGCTTGTGGAGGCCTATGGCGACAATGGTTTATCGGAAACAACGTGCAGAGATTGGTTTCACCAGTTCAATGATGACAATTTTGATCTGAGTGACAAGAAGCGTGAAAATCAGCCCAAGGAGATTAGCAGGTTCTTTTGGATGAAGACCCAATCGCAAAAAATGCTTGTTGAGCAATTGGGTATTTCAAGCAGCCATTTCCATGCGGCTACCATGGAGAAGGTTCAAAAGATCGGAAAATAGGTGCCGCATGAACTGAACGATAGGCAGATGAAGCGACGCCAAAACACATGCCAAATTCTGCTTGCCAGACAAAAAAGAAAGTCGTTCCTGCATCGAATTGTGACAGGCGATGAAAAGTGGATCTACTTTCAGAATCCTAAACGCAATCTTGGATTGATCCCGCCAACATCAACATCTTCCTCAAAACCAAATCGCTTCGGACGAAAGACGATGCTGTGCATTTGGTGGGATCAGGAGGGTCATCTATTACGAGCTGTTAAAACCTGGTGAAACTAATAGCTCACCGCTACCTCCAACAACTAATCAAATTGCCGTTCTTTGCGTGAAAAAAGGCCGTATTATCGGAAAAGACATGACAAGCTGATTTTCCTCCACGACAATGCACCATCGCACACGTCAACAATGGTCCAAAACTACTTGGAGACACTCAACTGGGAAGTGCTGATCTCGCTTACTCACCAGACCTGGCACCTTCTATCATCTGTTTCGTCGATGGGCCACACGCTCGCTGAGCGGCACTTCGATTCTTACATCCGAAAATGGCTTGATGAATGGTTTGCCTCGAAAGATGAGGAATTTTTTTGGCATGGTATACACAAATTGCCCGAAAGATGGGAAAAATGTATAGTTAGCGAGGGCAAGTACTTTGAATAAATTTATTTTTGCTTCCTAGGAAAAAAAAAGTGTTTTTCCGATCAAAAACAGCGGATTTAAGCTTATACACCTAATAATGCTCAATTGGACATGTTACGATTAGATATTGCTCAATTGGATATGTACAATTAGATACGGCACAATTTGATACTGCAATTCAATACGGAACAATTGGCAACGTATTTCAATATCGTATAATTTGATACCGCATGATTCTCCGTTTTAAAAACATAAATTATTTTTTCATATAATTTTTGTGTACTTACAGCAAAGAATTTATGCTTTTAAATAAGAGAACTGTACGCACGCACGCACGCACGCACGCACGTATGTATGTACATTTGCGGATAGTTTATACAGGAAATCAAATATTAATCATTTTTTAATACTCGTATATGTATTGTGTGAATTCTAACATCATTAAATGCAAAGAGAATTGAGAAAACTTTATTCCAGAATGATTCAGATCATTTTTCAATAAGACAATTATGATTTTTTAGAAGATTTTTCAATAAAATATAAGATATTCAAAATATTAATTTCCGAATAAATATGGCAATGTCACCGCTCCGTTTAAACTAAAATAACTTAAATTGCATATAATTTATCTCAAAAAATAAATTTTCATAAGTTTGGACAAAATTTGGATAGGGCCGAAATCAATCCTTATATACCCTACTCCTTTTTCTAAAAAAGAACCGATAGTGACATTAAATTTCTATTTACTATTCAATTTTGATGTCAATAATTGTTTGTTGAGAAATATAATTTCCATAACTGTTGAATGGTTACAAAGGCAATCATACCTACACGAATAAAAAATTTTTTGTTCTCTGTACTGATAGCAACAAAGTTGATATTGGAGGCGTAACTTTTTTATAATGAAAATATCATGGAATTCCATTCCTATACTGAC